TTCATTGTTCTTGCTTTGAACCTCATACACCTTTACCAATAAAAAAAAAAGTCCTCATGCACATTTTGACACTCTTTCACAGATCATCCATCACTGGTTATGCTACCTGCTTGTAACCTGTTGCACCCTCAATAAAAAGTAAAACAAAACTTACCGCATTGAATTAACAAAATCAGCATGCTCCAGGCATGTCTTGAACATGTTGGCATCTTTCCAGGTTAACTACCCTGGCATGTCTACTACAAAATCCCAACTAATATAAATGTGAGTTTATATATATATGGTTTGAATGTTTGATGCAATTAACTTGATCTAATTATGATCTATTTTTTTTTTCTGGACCACCCTTGACTTCTACATTGTCAAATAGCTTGTAATTACAACTATTATCTAATTTTTACTTATTTATTACCCTGAATTACAATTAGGGTTGAAATTGTATAGTTCAGTTTTCAGGAATCAGGAATTCAGGACTTTGAGGTCCCAAGCTTGCACGACGTAAGAACTCTAGTTTCATGTCCAATGCTTTACTCGCACAAACAAAAATCTTCACAGCTAGATCAATTAACAAACATCATGTATACATAGAAATGATTATAAATTCTTGTTCTTAAAATAACATGAAGGGGTGTTTCCGATCAGCTACAAAAATGGTTTCATAACTTTGTCTGTAATTTTAACTTAACACCAAAAACCCTAATCATATTTTCAAGTTCCTGCAAAGCTATATAGCCATCCTACTACCTAGCTACTACAAACCACAGGCTGTACTAGCTGCTCCTGTGTATGTATGTATCTATCTCACTCAGAACATGCCCACATGCTTCTCTCTCTCACGGTAACAATATCCTTTATGACCTACGGCTGTCCCATCTCTATCTTCCCTTCTCTTCTTTACATCTGTCTCAGCTCTTCTTCTATATATACTAAGCATGAGGACCGCGCTCCGCACGGGTCTGATAGGTTAGGAGCAAAAAAATAAAATGAGCAGTCAAACTTAATTAATAGTCAAATGACAGATAGGGATAAAATCAGATTGTTAGGGGCAAAACTGTAAAACTTAATTGATAGTCAAAAGACAGGCAGGGAGAAAATCAGGGGTAAAACTGTAAATTAACATGACTGGAAAAACTTCACGCCTCGGGGTGCACCCCGCCTCTATCTTAGCTTGTATATCCTATCATATATCATAAGTCACAACTCACAACTCCATACTTAGCTTGTATATCCTATCATATTCAACTTCTTCTTTAGGATTTCTTACCTTTTTTCTCTTCTTGGTTATGTGCTGTGGTCCCCTCCCCCCCTTTCGATCGATCACACTGTCACTCTTTAGAGCTGTGGGGTTCTTCTCTATTAATTTTGAAACTGCATCTACTTAATTACCTATATCTCCTACCTTCAATTCTTTTTCTAATGTTTATATGTTTCTCATGTTTGCCTTAACATCTTTCAGAAAGTTGCACCCTTCTTCTGGCCTTCTCTATTCTAGCAGCTTGTTTTTCAACTTCAGTTTCTTCATTCCTTGGTTGAAATCTTTTAACGGGTTCGGAATCGCAACTAGGTATATATTTCCAATAAGACCCGGCCCATATCATATCATGGGTTAATAAGAGAGAAAGTTGAGTTGAAGCGCTTGTAAAATAATCTCCAAAGGAATAAGTGAAGCTGTCAGCATGATCTAGCTTTGGATGGCTCAAAGGATCCATATTAATTACCAATTAACCTCAGCCAACCTTACCTAGGTCATGCCCTGACAGCCTCACTCCTTCCTGTTTTGGAGAATCAAAGCAAAGATTCCAAGCCTGCATCAAATTAAAGAGAGACACTCAGGCACCACTGTAAGTATATAT